GAGTCATTCGTATCGTAGTTTGATCCAAAAAATTTTCTAAGGAAGAAGAGGCAACAGAATTTCATTCTTTTAAAAAAAGGTGGACTTGCCATGCCCCCGAAAAAATTCGTGGTATTTTGCAAGTTTTTAGATGCTTATAACGCCCCAAAATTTTTCACACAGTCTTTGCATGGTTATAAAGCTCCCCAAAATTGCCCATTTCTCAACTTATTATTGATTCAAGCTTCTAGATTTCAGAAATGCTCTTAATCATTCACAAAAACAGGTCACTATAGCCTTTTTTTCTGACAAATGGCCACTCTCAGAGACTTGCGCCCCCCTTCCCAGGGAAGGAGGGCTCAGGGAGAGGGGAAGAGAAGCGAAAACTTACCATACTGAATATTGCGCTTTGAGGCTTCCGTCTTCTGCGATAGACAAAAGCGTAATAATGTGACAATTCCATTGGAGCAGTACAAACCAGACTGGAACTTCATCCAAGTATTTACTGCTTCTTCCCAACCAAGCCTGAAAAATCAGAAATCCATCATACCAACATGGTGATATTCGAATTTAGCTGACCTTCTCAACACATTTCCTATGAACACAGATGTCAATGTTTCGTTGGGATGAAGTTGAAGAATCTCCAACTTGATCAACGTTCGCAAGAGATCTATACATTCGTCAATTTTCTCTACAGATGGATTTGGAAGCCTCTGGAAAGTGTGTATATTTGGTCTACACGTTTCATGAGGATGCATTTTGATATCGTTCACCTCAAAACATTTTCCGAACAGACGATTATATTCGTGTAGAGTGTTGAAGAAAGTGTCATAATTTGCAGTAGCTGCAAAAATTTTCATAACTGCTAACTGTAAACCGTATAAATGGCAACAGGAAAAAAATGGGATGGTTGGTATCAGCTGGTTGGTAAAAATTGTACTGGACCGAAATATCGCCAATTCACTGATACAGGCAGTACCAAAATGCGAACACTGTAATTTCTTTCTGAGAATAACTCAAGCTCTGTTTTTCAAAAAAAGCTTTAGTTACAATGCTACTTTTAGGCCTCGCACCGCTGCAAAAAATTGTGTTGAGTTTTGCTCGTTTCTGATTGTCAATGAATTTGACAAAATGAAACTTTGCTCTGACGTTGAATCAAAAAGAGACCTTCAGGAAAAAGTCGCCGAAGTTCGTAGGCATAGTTGATTATTTTCACAACCGATATTTCTTCTCCTTCATTTGACATTCTTCTCAGAATGTGCAGCAAATGGTAATTCTTCATGGGACTGTAAGTGGGATCATCCGGCTTCTGCCATTTGGCAGATTGTGCAGATCTGGAAGACAAGCAAAAATAAAGACGTATTACCGAAGAATTCTTGGGCATCTTACAATGAAATGAGCATTTTCTTGACATTTGACCACTCTTCATGGTCCAGATAAAGCCCAAGCACATCTGGAATGATTTCTTCGAAATTCGTATCTTCTGGCCAGCCATATGACGAAAGGAATGCGTGAACCTTCGAAGAGTCCTGAAGAGACTGGTAAGTTTTCAAAAGGGCTTGCTCCTCTATAAAATGCTTCTATCCATCGATTAGAAGACTTCTTTTTCAAGTTTGAGCAAATAGAGGGAGATCTCTTTAGGATGCGTTTGCTAAAAACCCTAAAGCAGCTATACTTACACGATCATCCACAAATTTCTTCAGCCTCTCGTAAGTGATTCGCACAGGCAGCCCCTTCAAACTGTTTTTCTTCTCCAGTTCAAAGGTAGCTGTATATTGCAACTTCAGCCACCTGAAAGTTATGAATTTAGTGTAAGATACTCGAAATGATTGAACGGACAGGTAAAACTAACTCTTTGAGCTCTCCAGACAAAGGTCTCGAAGCATCTGCCAAGTCAGCCATTCGTTTCTCGCTCGCAGTTTTGTCTTGCCACCATGAATACATGGTTTGCCACACAGAATCGGATGCGATACCAAAACTCTTCAGGATTCTAGCTATTTTATTTAGTTTCGACTGATCCCCACGGGCAGTTCGTTGTCGATCTAGAGGTTATGATTAAGATAGTTTTATGACACCTTACTAGCCAAAAAAGTATGAGCAAAATCTTGGAACGTACCGTAGAGGGGCTGCAGAAGCACTGGTGACAGAACAGAGATATCAAGCTCTGAAAGATCCTTATAACCCATATTTGCACATCGAAAAATCAACTTAAGCCGCTCCTCAACATCATCTGTGCTAAAAAAACTTGCAAATATTCCACTAATGTTCCAGCTAAAAGCCCTAGCTTATTGTACCTAGTAAGAAGCGGTAGCACCAGATGATGCCTGTTCCGATCTCTATCTACCATATCGATTAAAGCATTGACGTATTCGATGCGTTTGTCCATAGAAAATTCTTTGTACATCATAACAGCGTAAAGCAGGTCGTCGTGGACCCGAAGACTATAACAACGTGGTGAGAACACATTTGAGTTTCGTTTTATTATTTTCCGACAAGGGAAGGAAGGTTAGTCGAAGTGGCCTTTTGAAATG